TGACCAGCGCTAACAGACTACCCATTGTTTAAAAGGCCCTCTGGCAGCTCAAGAATACGGATTTTATAAAATAAAAAGCAGTTGAAACTGCATTTTTATGAATAAAAATTTGACAAACTAGTTATCGTTTTATGACGAGTAAAATTTTTTCGTCGCGTTCGCGGCTTTTAAGTAATGCATAAACCTTCGAGGCGCGAGGCCCTTCGAACCGCGAGGCATAGGCGGTGGCCCACGTCGTCCATGCCTTACACCGCCCTTAATCATAGAAATGATGTAACTTGAATATAAATTATTTATAAATACTTATGTCAAGTTATATTTTTATTACTACATAAAATATATTAAGAGTTTATGGCCACTGTGCTGGGTGAGACGTTGTTGAAACAAAAAAAGTTATGCATTCCATCACGTACATAAACAGTGTCATAATTCGCCAAGTGCAAATCAGCAAATTCGTAAATTTTTGTTTATTTTGAACAATCCGGATAATCGAAAATCCGGATAATGGAGGTCCGGATAATGGAGGTTCTACTGTATATCAATATAAATATAAAGTTTTTATTCTTTTCTGTTGTTGTTGACCTTATTTATAAACATACCTTCAAATTCAAGGGAAATCTTAAAAACATGACAAATGCATTCTGCAAATAATCTGAGCTTTAATTATAATATACAACCAGGCCGTCGAAAAGGAAGAGCTGGGAATTTTTTCCCCCGGGACTGGAGAAAATTTGGGGCCCATAGTGGTTCTACACCTATAACTTAATGTTATTTATGAATTTTAAAATTAATTAAAAATAAATTTAAAAATAAAATTGTTTAAGACTGCTCTTCATTAGTAAAGAAATATTATTCGTATTTCATTTATTTAAAAATACAGCAAAAGGGAGCCCGCTATGGAGTTAAATGAACCCGATTTAACCAGGTCCCCCATGCAAACTCTCGACGGCCAGGTATACAACGCTTAATCATTTCCTTATATTATATCCAGATAAATAGACTTACATTGGATGTTTGCTCAAGAGAATTAGATAAAGCAAACAGCAAAGTGAAATCCTATTTCTTTTCTCTCATTCACTTGTATAGGCTTGTAAGGACACGCCATCTGTCAGCCAAAAATAATAATTGTAATTAGAAAATAAATACTGGCATATTGTAAGTTCCTTAAAATTTTTTAACCGTCTTAGTCACTTCACCTTATATTATAGGGTAAATTGAAGTAAAGTATAGTGCCTACACGTTATAGTGTTCTCGTTTAAAAAGCATTCACTTATGCGAAGTATTGAACGTTACATCTGTAGGTAATTTTAGATGCAGAGTATATTTAGATAGGTATATTTAAATATAACTTATCTCTACTACTATTTTAAGTTTTAACTTTTTTATTCACATTATATATTTTATTTAATAAAGATGTACTGTACATATTCTTAAGGCACTCATCCTTTGTTAAGAAAACGTTCATCCGTTTTCTGATAATGCTTCCATTGATACAATGCAACATTTCTTTTTAAACTTTATCTTACACATTTAATAATTCGCAAATTCATTAAAATACCTTTCATATTTCGCATAATAATTTCATATTTTTAAATAGTGTTTACGACGATTAAAATTTTCCACATGCCTAACACCAAAATAGGAACAGGTTCCCATGTTTTTCATGGAAGACATCTTTCCCTTAGTAGACCAAAACTGCCTTTTATCAAAAATTTTATTTTTTATAATTTATCAATACAAATACAGTAGTGTAAAGTTAATGATATTCCAATGATTTGTAGACATTTATTCAAATATCAGTGAGGTAATTACTTATTATTTTTATTAGGTAATTATTACTGTTAATTATAGAACACTTGCAATGCCTTGAAGGCGAGACCGCCTCATTAAAATTAACTTTATGATAAACAGGTTAATTTCCTTTAAAATTTATATTTACGTGTCTCAAATTCGTAATTAATTAATATATATATTTTTTTTAACTCAGAAACTGGTTTCTATATCCAACCAGGATTACTTAAAACCCACTGATATGAGCTTGGTGATTAAAGCTTTAAAAGCATTTGAACACGGAAGGATCCAATAATTTCAAAATATGTGTGGTATGTATGACACGATAAATAAAGTAATGCAATACCATGTTCATTGCAAAAATTCATGATACTTAAGCTTTTTATGTGTGATCAAGTATAAGCAACAAAAGTGCTTAAATCACTTTAAAAATGTCTCATTAACATAATCACTTTCTTTCAAGATACTGTCTGTTCCAAAGATAATTTGAAAAAATATGTACCTACATGTAGTCTTTAATCAAATAATCATACACAGTATGAAATCTGTAATATACAGTAGAACCTCGATTATCCGGACTAATTGGGGATGAAGGTAGTCCGGATAAGAAAAAATCCGGATAATCGAAACAAATACTTTAATTTGTCTTTTAATGATAATACAACACGTTTTCTTTTCAATGACATATCGGTAATATTAAAAGTAAATACTGTATTTAAATCGTGATCAAATTTTCAAGAAACAAACGTTCGTATTGAATTTGGACTACTACTGACCAGCGCTAACAGACTACCCATTGTTTAAAAGGCCCTCTGGCAGCTCAAGAATACGGATTTTATAAAATAAAAAGCAGTTGAAACTGCATTTTTATGAATAAAAATTTGACAAACTAGTTATCGTTTTATGACGAGTAAAATTTTTTCGTCGCGTTCGCGGCTTTTAAGTAATGCATAAACCTTCGAGGCGCGAGGCC